TACTGAACATATCACATACTATGTATAAGACATACCAGCAAACGTCTGTATGAGTTGGTGGACGGGCAAATGAGCGGCATGAGTCCTGCGAGTGAGTGCAGCACTCCTGCTGCAAAGTGTTGGCCGGTCTCACTCAGGCCACTGTCATTGCTGTGTTTGAGAAGGAAGTGGGCATATGAACACAAGAATCGATCTACGGACGACACTTGACGGAATAGATCATGATCACAGCGGGACAGGGCCGAATGAGTGGGAGCCTGCAAGCAAGAGAAACACAACCTCGGGGTGACAGGTTTGACAATAAGCCAACGTACAGGCGAGTAACATAAGATGGGCTGCAAACTCAAAAGCAGCACAGACTAGCCCGAAATACAAGTTATGATAACAGAGCAAGTGACCAAGTAATGTATACGATGCCAAAGCCTACCACAACAGGACAAGCAAACGAAAGCCGCGAACAGGTTGGCAGACATTTACAAACGCGGAGAAGGCATAGAATTAGCACTGGATGAACACCACAATCTATACAAAAGGATTCGACCGTGGATGAAAAATGCGAACGCCTACGGGCACAGCACAAACACTGAAATCGACTGCAGTACAAGCACATGCGCGTGTGCAAGTAGATTTCACTTGACAAGTAACAAAATATCCAGATACAGACACTCCAGTAGCGTAGTGATATTGGATACCACTTGACTCCATCAGAGCATGGAATGTGGCGATATCGTCTGGCTTGAGACTTCTTATGACCATTCCACAGTCACATACATCCCAGTTATACTCAGGTGTACCGTGAACAATAACACCCGATTTGTAACATACTGTGCACAAAACATTCTATTCGCGGCACATACCTGCCCGTGCGGGAATCCACAAGATGAGAGTTGTCTGACATGACATTGACACCGCCCTTCCACACACTGATGTGCAGATGATTTCCTGACCCGCACTTGTCAGAGTGTAGCTTGGGCACAAAGGTGGCTACCAGGCCGTGCTTGTACGCAACGGCTTTCACAGTCTCTCTGTTTTGAGTGCAGAAAGAGTATCAGTGCACGTCTAAACCCACAGAATAACAGTACACGAGGAGTGCGAGATACGGCGAATCGCATTGGAACATCTTGTATACGCAACCGATTGTCGCAAGAGTCTTCCCATCGGACCCATTCCAGCTACCAGGTGCTCTTTAAGCTTCTATGCTAACCTGTAGATGATATGTTGGTCTGCCGCACCTAACGCATCGGTGTACTTGACAGTCAGTTCGTGCTGTCCCGGACCTGCTTCCGGGTGGCACATCTCTACTATCAGTCCCTACAACATAACCGAAACGTAGCGTGACAACGAGAGTGGCATTAGTAGCCACATATGGGCATGTTGGGTGTGCTGGTCGGCGTATACGTGCCTAAATGCGTGTGTGTGATTTGAATATATATAACACATCTGTCGCGTATGATAGTATACGCTCCTGTTCTGGTGGAATCGTTCATATGTTCCGGTTGTTTGAATGCATAGTCGCTTGGATTATAGGCCTACTGTATGCAAAAGCACAAAGACCAGATGTACAAAGTACCGGGTGTACAGAGTACCGGGTGTACAAGGTAGCCCATTGGCCAATAGGGTGCATGAATTCAAGACTTCAGCACTCATCCGGAGTGGTTCAGAATAGCACTGCGCTGCTGGGTCACGAGGGCTTTGTGGGTGTGCCAGTAAACGTTTAGTGAAAGCTCACAAATGTGTTTCTAATCCACCTTAAAGGCTATCAAACTGCTGTTGTCTGTCACATACATGGACCTGTCCACTAAGGGTGCATGCTAAGTCATCTCTGACACGTGCAATCACGTCCGTGACCGTGATAGTGACATACACATCATCGGCCAGAAGCTGCAACTTACCGCGGCTTACACACATACACTATTCTCGAGATACCTATACATATGCCCTACAGCACAATTGGTATACCCGCCTTCACAATGTACTGTATCACAAACACTCACATTTTCCTCTAGCCAATGGTGTCGGCTAGATGGTACGACTACACCAAACTGGCCTTATTGATCTACATTCTCATTTTATTAAGACACACGTACCTGCTCGCTTAGGGCGTCTGCAATCTCGTCCAACACAGGCGCCATCTTGTCCATGGCCATCACAGCAGCGTACACATCATCATCAACTGACATCAGCTCTCCGGTGGTACTGTTCCGCCGTAAAATGTAAAACTCAGGCTCGAATGCGGCCTTGATTTCGAAGCCTAGACGGAACGTTTCAGGAGATAAAGTTCGCATACATTGGATGAACAGACTGACTCGCGGTTGTGTATCTGTGTCCTCTCTTCTAAATGTCACTGAGTAATCTGAACAAATAAAGACAAACAAATATAGCAAGTATGCATCATTCCTTGTTATGCTACCAAGCTGATGGTGTGTAGAACTAAACGACCAATGAACGCGCAACGATGTGCGGGTTTGCTGCACGCTACGGACCATCACAAGGTACTGAGGTCGCGCAAAGACGCGAGGCAGCGCCACATTCGTCACACTGAAGTGTTTGCCAGCACCACGAGAAAGCATCACCTTTGGCACTCAAACGAAAAACTTGCACATACACAAGTACATCCTAAGACCGATCAAATACACCACACGCCCACACAGCCCATACCCAGGGCAGCAGCATCGGCTATCATTCGCTTCAAGAATCCTCGCTGGCAAAGCTCCCACGGCTGACCTTGACGTGTGTAAAGGTCGCCCATGACACGGGCGTGTGCGGGGTGGTACGGTAGCTTGGTCAGCGTTGTCCAGTCCGGCACTTGAAACACTTCGCCTACCGCAGTCAGCCCTGGGCGATTCCCAGTGCGAGAAGTACTTAAGTGAGATATACATGCGGCTAGGTCGTTGTGCTTGGTTCACCAGGCAGACGCTAGCGACACCTGAGTACATCCCATAGACATACATGATGTTATATGGTGCATGATTGGGCAGTCGGTGTGGGTGTTAGGCCGACGTCGTGCTTTGTTAAGACAGTCTTGAATTTGGGATATGTTGCGTACGAAACTGAGACCCGAGGTACAGCTGATGACAAATATATAGCGTCCTAAAACGTAGGTCTAGGATCTACTAGAATATATGGGACAAGGCACTATTTCTTGACGATTGATGGAAAGTTTGGCACCTAGAACGCCAACACCTTAGCACTGAGACCAGAGGGCTGTGCAATAAAAACTGAATGCACTTACAAGGTCCTTATGTGAGGAATTAGTGATAGTCTGTGGCATAAGAAAACGACCCCAGCAATGGACCAGGCTTCTGTCTGTATGTCTTTCAAGGAGGCAACATATTAGCTGCATTATATGTAAGTATGGCAACACCATTTAGATGACCAGAGATTCCAGCTGTACCTGTATCTGCGGACACGCCATCAGCCATCACAGGACAACTCTGCATAGCTACACACCAGGACACGCCTCCGCCTTTGATCATTCGTCTCTACACAAGTATATTAAATATAAACAGGCATGGGAATGTAATGCATATGTTTGACCAATCATGCGTCCTTATTGAGTATCGCAGTATCTGGAGATGTCTATTACGCAGAGCGGCGCTGAGCGATTTAAAGCCTAGGAAAAACGCAAACAATCATAGTTGACAATTTGGCTCAAGAACGAAGTATACCACATTGATAAGATTTAGGAATTAATTTTATGCACCAGCATCATTGAAAAGTAGTGTTCAATATCTAAAAATAGCAACAGTGAAATATGGATGAACCGGTATTTCACGCATGCTCGTAATCTCGATAATTGTGCACAAACGATACCGATCAATGCCAATATATATATATATATATATATATATATGTATATATATATATATATTATTATAATACATATATATATATATATATATATATATATATATATATATAGTTATATATATATATAGTATATATATATATAGTAGTAATATAGTATTATATATATAATATATATATATATATAT